TGGAGTAACGTTTCGGTCCACTTCTGAAAGCATAATGACGATCTAGATTGGATGATGGATTGGTGACTAGATTTGGACGCGTTTTGTCAGCTGTACTTTACACTAAGAAAAGATAACGTTTATATTAAATTGGCGTTGGTGCACTAGCCTGGCGTGATGGTTCTAAGCATCTCGCGTTATCTCGTGTTATCTCGAACGTAACAATGGGGGTAGGTACGGGTCACGTGGTAGACTTCTCTGTTCTACACACTATCATACTATCACAACAATGCAGCCTAAGCTTTAATAGAAATAACATTCTAAAACTTATAGTGTTCCCGGATGCCAAAAACAATGTTTAAAACAGTGAGATGTAACGATACGCCGCTATTAAGTGGAGAGGACAGGCCGTTCGGTCATCCGGGTAATCCCCAATATACATCCGGGTAATCCGTGTAGTGCTATAGCGGCAGGTGTAGCGACACCTATAGGCAGGCCCGACCTGTCGGGGGATTAGAGTGTAAGTCCTGCCTTGCGATGGTGGTAAGCCGACTAAGCCACGCATGTGCTATTTCCGTCACGTGTAAAGAGAGCTGTACCTTTGTAGAACAACACAACAGCGGTACCGATACCATTTATTCTCACTACAAAGTCCCAACACTTTGAATTCATCAGATAATTTCGATAATGTTTTCTACTAATTTTGCGAGGGAGAGCCTGGGATATCACATGTTAATAGAAGTCAAGAAACAAGACACCGGAAGAGTTTCCCTATCATCTCTTTCAATCACTACCCCAAAAATGTCAAACATTTTAACCCTGATATTAAGACATTTTGGCAAGACTTGGTATCGGTATTCCCGCTACTTCAATCCATAATGAACGTTTTATACAGATTTGGTTTACGTTATGTAATCAAAGACTTGCTGAATATTCAAAAATGAAAACTTTGCCCCCTTTTTGCCTTTTACAGCAAACCCTTTATTCTAAAATGAGGTTATTGCCGAAATAGTCCGATCGTGTATATATTCCTTGTTCTAAAGATCATCATATACACTGACTTGTCCATATATATAATCCATTTATTTCGGATTAGAGAGATAGCAATTTGCCAAAGAAAAAAATTACCATGAGGTCAAATTGCGAGCAGCTCACCTTCCCCGTTTATAGAAACACTCGTCGGGGCAAGGCATCTTACGTACGTACCATAACATGGCTATTCGATATCTGTTAATGTAGATTTAATTGGCTGGTACGTAAATAAAATACACCTGGTTTTCTTACAGTATGGTGTAAATGCCCTCATGACCTTGGACAAGACTGATCAAGGTCATTGTTAAATCTGAAGGTCTGGCGGTCGTGCTTCAGTGCACATCGTGTATGTAGGTATTTATGACGTCATCAGCGTCACAATTATGGCATGTGTACGTGCGTGTTTTGACATCAACAATGCATGATAGGAAACACGACAAATGCTTTATAGACCCGCATTCTCAGTTGGATCTAAAATGAATTCCACACAGAACGCAATTTCTTGAATTTGTAAGTTTTCATTATGCGTTCTTTTTTATTAGGAATGACAAAAAAATGCCATTATGAACGACGTTAACAAATAAAACTGTGAAGTGTAGGAGTGACGTTCTCTTTTTCATGTAAACACAAATACTTAATAAAAACAGCAATCTTAACGATTACGCATTAAAATATCAGGTTCAAACAACATGAGTTTCTTCAATGTCCTTTTACATAGAACAGTCATTTAGTTATGCCAGCAAACTGTTTAGGTGTCGAGGACACCAAACGTCACGATTATGACGTCACAATGCTAATGTTATTAGACGGGAAATGCCTAGTTGTCTGATAAATATCGTAATCGACTCAGTCCATATCAGATACACGTGAAATACCGAGACACGATGTATATGTAAAAGTTCCCAAAGTACTAAACTGGTGTTAGTTCAACATTTCAGCTTCATTGTAAAGACTTCTTTCTGAAAAATGTCGTAATTGAAAATTTGGTGTAACGATCACTACACGTTGCTAAAGATATTCTAAAGATATCGTATTACGCCATACCACGTCAGGGTGTTGTTCTAAATAGCGTGCAAAAAGTGTTTGATATTTTCTAATTGCGCTGCGACATCACAATTTGATGACATTCTTCATTAAATAATTGAACGAATTAGCTGAATGAATTAGTTAAATGAATTAGTTGAATGAATTAGTTCAAGTTGATTATTACATTATGTAGCGATACATCAATGATGTAGCGCTACATAGTTTGATATTGTATCATATACAACATTATATTTTGTTGGTAACTATAAGTATACTGACATTTCACTTGAACAGCATCGAAATAAAACTTATACAATTTGCAGTGTTGTTATCAAAGCATAGTACCAAGGACTATTTCATGTGTTTTCCGGTCATACCGTCGTGACGTCATATCCAAACTTTGACGGAAATTACCGAATGATTTCCGATTGCTGTTTTGCAGCCGAACATGGCAATTACACCCCTGTTCCGTAAATGGACTGTCCCGCCATTATCATGGACAAAATCAACCACTCAGAAAGGTAAAATAGAATTTTTCTTTGTTGTTTTTAACGTAAATTGCAAAGTTCCGTTCAAAGACGTTATCTAAGATGCGTACATCATGAAATGTGCTTGTAATTACGCAATTTGGTTTCATCCTATCATAATTGTTAGGAATATGTATTTCAATCCTGAAGCAGGCTTACATGCACAGTGTTTTGCCACACTTTATCAGTGACTTTGACATCAACGTTATTTATAGTGAACATCGAAATAGTACCATATAACTATATATAAACATCATTGAGCCAGACCACCGATACCGTAACAGGTGTTGATGTACCAGTAATAATACTGATTAATTGATAATGGCAGACCACAGATCTTTATATTAACACTCGAAATAATGTCTAGTCCGGGGCTATCAATCAGTACGTTGGGAGTGTGGAAGACGGAGAAATAATGTCTAGTCCGGGGCTATCAGTGCGTGGGGAGTGTGGAAGACGGAGAAATAATGTCTAGGCCGGGGCTATCAGTACGTGGGGAGTGTGGAAAACGGAGAAATAATGTCTAGGCCGGGGCTATCAGTACGTGGGGAGTGTGGAAAACGGAGAAATAATGTCTAGGCCGGGGCTATCAGTACGTGGGGAGTGTGGAAGGCGGAGAAATAATGTCTAGTCCGGGGCTATCAGTACGGGGGGAGTGTGGAAGACGGAGAAATAATGTCTAGGCCGGGGCTATCAGTACGTGGGGAGTGTGGAAAACGGAGAAATAATGTCTAGTCCGGGGCTGTCAGTACGTGGGGAGTGTGGAAGACGGAGAAATAATGTCTAGTCCGAAGCTATCAGTATGTACGTGGGGAGGGTGGAAGACGGAGAAATAATGTCTAGTCCGGTGCTATCAGTACGTGGGGAGTGTGGAAGACGGAGAAATAATGTCTAGTCCGAGGCTATCAGTACGTGGGGAGTGTGGAAGACGAAGAAATAATGTCTAGTCCGGGGCTATCAGTACGTGGGGAGGGTGGAAGACGGAGAAATAATGTCTAGTCCGGTGCTATCAGTACGTGGGAAGTGTGGAAGACGGAGAAATAATGTCTAGTCCGGAGCTATCAGTACGTGGGGAGTGTGGAAGACGGAGGAATAATGTCTAGTCCGGGGCTATCAGTACGTGGGGAGTGTGGAAGGCGGAGAAATAATGTCTAGTCCGGGGCTATCAGTGCGTGGGGAGTGTGGAAGACGGAGAAATAATGTCTAGTCCGAGGCTATCAGTACGTGGGGAGTGTGGAAGACGAAGAAATAATGTCTAGTCCGGGGCTATCAGTACGTGGGGAGTGTGGAAGTCAGACGTCAATAGAAAAAGACAAGGGCTTTACCAGGAATCTTCAGCGATTTGTGATGGTTTAAACTTTACATAGGTAGCTAAATGACAAGCACCAATTTTGGTCATCGACACTTGTTCCGCCCTGGTGTTTAACCGGAAGTTGTATCAACTGAAAAGTAATAGGACGCATTTCTTCCAGATTTGCTATTATTGATAATTTGTTTAACTTTATTCTATCTTTACTTCGTTTTAATGATCAATATTCAGATTTGGACAAATAAAATGTTGGTAAAGTAGACACAACTTCTCACACAGACAGGGATCAGGATTAAACAAAGTACCGATTTAAACAGAATACTAAATATAAGGCGCTAAGCTATGGACAGATATATGATCGCAGTACCGCCCATTTTACACAAGATTAAGGGTGTATTTACCAACTTTGTGGTCTGTTTTTACAGTATTACATTTGCTAATGAGTACGGTACGGTATACTGTTATTCATTTCGCTTTGCAGGAGACACTTTGTGAAGGGATAGAAACTTAGGAAATCAAAGTAGTAACACCGGAAAAATCAAGAATACGGCTGCCCAGGGTAGGAGGAAGGAAACCGGAAGTACAGAGAACTCCGTAAATTGATGGTGTTATATATTACTCTAACATGTGTAGCGGAACTAGACTGGGTCGATCGTCGGCGACCAGGTAGCTTGATTAGTAGAGCGTCAATCTAGAGTTCCGAGGGTTCGGGTTCGAACCCTGGTCTGGCCGTTACATTCTCTTTCTCCTGTTAGCTCCATTGCTTTTAAAATTTGGCCTTTGTCAGCGAAAGTTATATTGATTAAAGATTTTACCAACATTAGTGATTGCCCTGTTTATGTTCGCAATTAATGACATCAGTGATGGTCTGTTGATGTTACTGATATCAGGAATGGCTCAACTGATATAATTGACATCAGTGATGGCCCATTTTAAGGTTGCTGATATCAGTGATGGCCCTGTTGATGTTACTGGCATGAGTGATGGCCCTCTTGTTGAAACTGACATCAGTGATGGCCCCGGTGATGATACTGACATTAGTTGTGACCCAATTGATGTAACTGACATCAGTGATGGCCCTGTTGATGTCACTGATATCAGGAAAGGCTCTACTGATGTAATTTACATTAGTGATGGCCCATTTTAAGGTGGCTGATATCAGTGATGGCCCTTTTGTTGTAACTGACATCAGTGATGGCCCTGGTGATGTTACTGACATTAGTTGTGACCCAATTGATGTAACTGACATCATGGATGGCCCTGTTGATGTCACTGGCACCAGTGATGAACCTGTTGATGTCACTGGCACCAGTGATGGCCCTGGTGATGTTACTGACATCACTGATGACCCTGTTGATGTTAATGACATCACTGATGACCCTGTTGATGTTAATGACATCAGTGATGGCACTGTTGATGTTACTGACATCACTGATGACTCTGTTGACGTTACTGACATCAGTGACGGCACTGTTGACGTTACTGACATCAGTGATGGCACTGTTGATGTTACTGACATCACTGATGGCACTGTTGATGTTACTGACATCATTGACGGCACTGTTGACGTTACTGACATCAGTGATGGCACTGTTGATGTTACTGACATCACTGATGGCACTGTTGATGTAACTGACATCAGTGACATCATGCAAAGTTACATCAACATGATAATTACTGATGTCAGTGACATTAATATGGCCATCACTGATGTCAGTGATCACCAGGGCACTCATTGATGTCAGTAATATCACCAGGGCCATCACTGGTGTCAGTAACATAACCAGGGCCATCAATGATGTCAGTGACATCAACTGACATCACTGATGACCATGTTGATGTTACTGACATCACTGATGACCATGTTGATGTTACTGACATCAGTGACGGCACTGTTGATGTTACTGACATCATGGACGGCCATGCATGTTGATGTTCGATATTGATGACATCAGGGATTGCTCTGTTGATGTTACAATTTTGTCGGATGTTTAGCCAGATGTCGACGGTAATACGGGGACATAAATACAATATACATGTATGTATACTTACCAAGGACATCAATACTTCAAAACAACTTGTATTGAGGAAATTACTTATACACGCCCAGAGTATAAGGCCTATTTCTGTAAAGTTGTATTCATCGTGTCTATATATAATTGGAAACAATGACGCAGGAAGTTTGGAGATTTTATCAAAACTAACTTTTATTTTAATGACAAGATGTTTGCCCGGCCTTAATAACAACGTCACACACTACACAGCTGTCAAATTGTCATGATTAAAATTCTTCCAAATTTGACAAAATCTGACAGTTTTAGTCGACGGTTTGATAGTCTAATTATAGTAAGTTATATACCGCCTGACCCCGCGAACTCCCTGAAAAGGGCAGGGATGGTGTGTGCCGACACCTTTGTACGGAACGTCTTCATGGGTCTAGGTGACTTAATTAAGCGCTGATAACACCCGGTAACTGGTTGGTAAACTCGCTAAATAATTAACGTATCAAACACTTCCATATAAAAATAGGCAGTTTTTATCAATTAGTAACAAAAGGGATATGGGGCGTGTTCGGGTCATCGGGATCTCCACCCAAAACAAGAATGCTTTAAGTAGTATGTAACGTATTGTCAAGCTGCGCTCAAGGCTAAGACCATTTTGTTTATTCATTTTACAAAAGATACTTAAATTAGGCAATTTTAAAACCGTAAACCTGATCTTCCTTTTATCGAAATCAATCAATTTGTTACACGCCAAACTTTTGGACGAGTATCAAACTGGGCTTTTGTACGTGCTGGTCTTTTTTATAACTACGAGCACATTTCTTTTCCACTAAGCGCTTATAGGCCGAGTACTTAGCATCTGATGTGTATGTCATTTGTGTGTTGTTTTAATGATTTTAAATGAAGTGTTTTACCAATAATATGTTAAATCTACGATGTGTGTTGTGCCATTGAAGAGTTAATTTGTAAATTTTAAATAATTGACATAGCACCTCGAGATTTTCATCTCCATTTTTATTCACTGCTGCGCTTTCAACAAAAGTCTGGAAAACCTGAAATGTTTACTTGGTTTTCAAACAACCCGAGGCTAAATATTTATCAACGAGAGATTGTCGACTTCGTTGGTCCCTGAAGATGGAGAAACAAATACATGTATATTTAGTTTCAGACAAAAGTAACTTTAAGTGCAACCCTTGTTTGATATTATTTATTCTTCAATTATCTGCCCCTGGTGAAGGGTAGTAGCACCAGGGCTTAGTTCGACCTGCACGCCACCTGTTGGACCGTTCTACACCCTGACACTGGCATGATGTCAGTGGGTACAGCTTGTCCAGAAACCAGCCGCTGTACCTTTCTGTATAGTATACGTATATGTTGATTAATTTAACAAAATACTCGCTTCATCCCACTCACACTTAAACGGTTTTCCGCTTTACATAGCTCGTAGTTGTGGAAGGTAGGTTTTTATCATTGAAGCCTAAATCGTGAGAGAACCAACTGTTTATTTACCATCTAGTATCTGGTCTATTTGACTTCGTCAGGAGAAAACTATTTTGTAACAGCTTGTCAGCCAAATAATTGACACACACTATGTAAACTATATAATGCAATAAACAACCGAGGGAGTCATAACGGACAGAGTCGGACGGCAGACGATATTAAATCTTAACCAGCCCTGCTCTTAATAGTACATAAATCAAAAATGTACAAATCGTAGAATAACGAACAGTCAAATACCAGTACAAGAGAAGGAAAACAGGACAAAGAACAATTGAAATGTCGAAATGGATAAAATATATTTCGATGTAATTTGATTATAGATCTGATCCGTGAAAAATATTGTCGTTTTCTCAATTTCTCCCAGATCTTACCGGTGCACAGATAATACAGTACTCTTAATTTCATTATTATATAACTAGAGAAACTTTACCAGGGCACTCCTACTGCCCAGGTACCTCATGATCAGTTGGCTAGAACGACAGTATAATGGCCGGCGGTCAGGGTTCGAATACTGGTCTGGCCCGTCACATTTTTACACTTAAAACATTGCTGTTGATTATTTTTTGTTAATTACTCAATCAATTTTTCATAAAAATTCCATTCCATAAGTATGGTTTCCGTATCAGAAATGATCTAATAAAGCTATAATCGTGCCAGCAAAAACAAGTTCCAAATACATAGTTACAGTTGTTGGCAGTTTTACGTGAAACCTTAAGTAGACTATACATGTCGCTGTCTGTGTTACGGCTAACGTTAATTAAGAGGGTTTGGGGGTTGGGTTACTGTACGAACGAGAATTAACACGTAATGTTTTACTGTTTGGCCTGCAGTGGGAAAGGAAATCTTAATCTAATTTAGGGATTTGGAAGTCCAACAAAAAGATTTAATAATACCGTTTCCATCATGCCTTGTAACTTTTTGTCTAGTTGTCAACTTGAAGGGTTTGTGATATCACTAAGCAAAATGTTGGTTAGAATCCGCTCGGATGCATTATTTTTATTACTGATTTTATCTTTAAATATGGAAGATAGTTTTGAGGAACATTTTCAAAGACATTATGGCATTATGTTTTTAAGTTTTAGTGTTTGAATTTTGTAAAAGGAGTAGTTTTAGAGTAATTTGAACAAAACTCAACGGTTTATTTTGCAAAAAATAATTTCTTTATTTTTGCTATCTACTTTACATGTTTTATTTAAAGAAATGAAAATGGAATACTACATCTTTTAGTCTTAAATACTTTTTGTTAACGAGTTGATAACTTTTAGGTTTTTTTCGTTTTTTAACGGTGAGTTCTGTCACCTGCATCTCGACCCAAAAGACTGATAGGTAACCTTTATCGAGACGGTTATTGTTCTCACCTGGTCTCCAGAAACATGTGTCTAAATAAATGGTGATTCGATGACAGTCTGATGTTTCTGACTTGGACGGAATTCCGGAATCAGATGTTGCAGCCAGAAACTACCGCAACAAGGGAGCACGCACGAGGATGGGGAGGAGTGTTTACCGTATGTTCCAAAACGACTTTTAACTTGTGTTAAAACACCTGCAACCAATCTTACAAACGAAATTGTTTACTTTAAAGAGCAATCTTTTCTCCTTGTTTTTGGCGTTTCGTCTGTGATTTTATCCTGTCGGCCAGAGGATGTCAAAATACTGCTGCAGACGGACTTTAGAATAGCGACCCGCAGGTGGTTCTCCGCACTTTGCACATGGCCTTCTGCTCAAATGCTATTTCAAACAGTGCCAGGTGAACACATTAAAGAACACAAGTAATATGCGATATTGTTTGATGGAATTTTTATAGCTAGAACAGTTACCAAGCAAACACCACTCCAGAAGACATCAATGGGTGCGATGCCAGGGTTGGCCTGTTCACTCAGAGGAGGAACATCCGGTTGATGGACTATTTTAGGGGATGTTATTATTACGCCGATACCTTCACCCGTGTTTGTGTCATTGGCATTTTGAATTTGCTGGAGAGTGAATATAAATTATTACGGCGCAAAGATTTTAAATAACCTATCATAGAACACGCGCATTAAAACCTCAGTACACGTGCGGTGCGTTGACGAGAAGCAGACTCCGTGTACTTAGGTGCATCATAGACCAATAGCTCGGAGCAATCGTCAACAGAGAGATAAACGTGTTTGGTACAAACGTAGACAAACATATTCAAGCTACAGATAGAGTTTAAGACTTACAGTATTTGGTAATAGTATCATCACACATGTAACATGCGGTACACTTCCCTGTCAGTAAGTATTATGTGACGTGGGTTCAATGTATAATACTATAAGTTTACTTTCCTTTTTTTCTTTTATCCGATATCAGTTTTTTAAAAATCACCAACTCAAATGCACATTTGTTATTTGTCAACATAAAAATATACACAAGGATTTTCTCAAATCTTCACAAGTACACCTGTATTTTCACAACGTTATTTTCTACTTAATCAAACGTACCAGGTGTAACAAATGTACTAGTTACTTATTCTGTGACCCTCTTCATTAATTCTTCTCATTGATGAGAGACATCAGCAATTCATTCATCACGCTTCACAGTCAAAACGTCAAGGATGCTGTATTACAGGAGACTGTATAACAGCAGATGTCGAGGATGCATACATCACGTTGTATTTTGTTAACGTCATATTGTCCCTTGTCAATTTCTGTTGATTAGCTTCCTGAACGTTATCCTGTCCTGTACGGATCTAATGAGTGCAAATGTGTGAATGTTAGCACGCTATTACTAAAAGATGTATTTATGATGTCTTCTCTGAAAGGGACAATGAATAATATGAATAAGTTTTGTAAAAAGTTTTTTTTATTGTTTATTTAGAAGTATTGAGAGAGAAAAAAGATGATAAATTGTCTTACATTGTACACGACGAGTTCCAGGTATTAAAGTAAGCAGGCGGCCTGACAGAAATCGTGAAAAGTCGTCATTCCGATCCTGTCTTCAATCACCGTGTAATGTCTATTAGCAAAAAAACCAATAGGAATGATTGATATGATCTAGTACGGCTGAACGGAAATGTTACAGCTGAACATACTGATGACGCGATCCCGTGAGGCAGGGTCCCCCTAACGAACGTATGGCGTGTCGACCACACATAAACATGATTACTTTTGTTTCGGGGTTTGAAATACTTAACTTGATGATATTCAAATTAGTAGTCAATCTCATAATTCACCTAGCGCGCGTGAGGACAGTGGCTTTGACATATAGCAGATACCACGAGTACACGCAGCATCAACTCT